TCATAATTGGTTGATTAATAATAATAAGCCAAACCCACCAGACATTTGTTTAGTGGAATTAATATGAGTGGTGGAGGAGCTTTAGAAAAGGTATATCCATCTTTTGTTTTTGGGTTTGGAAACTGTCGGGAAGGCTAAGAGGAAGAGAAAGGAAAAGGAGTTGCCTCCATTGATACCCTAATTCTTAAAGCTTAATGCATGCATTAAACAATTAATGCCCATCTTTAGTGTAATTACTATTACATTAACCTTAATCCAACTGAATTACCCAAATATAGATTGTGTTCTCCCGTGTAACAGCTTAAGCCTACCGCTAGTAGATATTGTCCCATTTGGTCCGTTGCGTCGGTTAAGGAGAGATTTCCACGCTCTTATAATAAGAAATGTTTGGAAATGTTTCGTTCCCTCCTCCAACCAACGTGCGATCTCACAATCCATCTCCCTTGGGGGCCAGAGTTCTCACTGGCATACTGCTCGGTGTCTGGCTCTGATATCATTTGTAACCACTCAAGCCCCAACATCCTAGTAGGCACACCGCTTAGTGTTTGGCTGTAATATCATTTGTAACAACTTAAGCTGACTCTAATACCATTTGTAACAACCCAAGCCCTAGCATCCATACTGGCACACCGCTTGGTGTCTAGCTCTGATAACATTTATAATAGCTCAAACCCACCGCTAACAAATATTGTCTGCTTTGGCCCGTTACATATCGCCATCAGCCTTACGATCTTAAAACATGTCTACTAGGGAGAGGTTTTCACACCCTGACAAGGAATGCTTCGCTCCCCTCTCCAATCGATGTGAATCTCACAATCCACCCCCTAAGAGGCCAACGTCCTGCTGGCACACTGTCACATTTTACGCTTAGTGTGTTAATCGTTAGTTATAAATAAAAGATCATGTTTGTTATTGGGTTATGTGATGCTTTGGATTGACTTGATGTTTCTCGTTAGCTTCATAAATTCGCACTTGCATTGAGAAAACTCTCACTCGGATATTCTATACTCTTAGTTACGTGCTAAACTCTTACTCGTTCGTTCTTTTTATATAAATATTTTTTATTTGACAAACAAACACAAGTTTAAAAAATAAAAATAAAATTGTTTTCAAATCTAATTTCAATTTTTAATTTTTTTTTTTATAAATTCATTATTGATTTTTTCTAATAAAATAAAAGGTGCAAGTTTAAAGTTTTTAATTCATTAAATTGGAAATACTAAATCGCATAAATAAATTAGAAAAAAAAGCCCTGCGTGGAAATAAAAATAGAGATTAAAATTTATAATTTAACATTGAACGACACGTGTTGTGTGGACCCAGTTTACCAGAGAAAGACTCCATGCATCCAATAAAAAAGCAGCCACCTCATTGAATGACACGTGTACAGTTCGGATTAGTTCAGACTCAGTATTCTTACGTGTCATCCAAACCACGCCGAAATCCCAAATTCACTCTAATTTCCGAGACTTCATAAACAAAAAAACAAATTGGATTATTTCTTTAAATCCAATTCTCAGTTCTACCGGTCGAACCCAGAACTGAAATCGCAAAATCGTCGTCGGGTTTTGGCGAATTCTTCCGATCAACCGTGGCTTCTTCAGGATCCTCAGGTCTGTCTCGGAGAAAACATTCGGCTTCCGCTTCTACTCCGCCGTCAACGCCGACGAGGATCGTCTACAGAGAGAGAGTTCCGCCGTCGCATCCCGATTTGCCTTTCTGGCAGCGTAACTGGTTCATTGCCTTGCTTTTCGTTATGGCCATCGGTTTCTTCTCTCTTGCGCTTTTTCTCTTCCTCGGTCTCGATCTTCACCAGGGCTCCCCGCCGTCCGCATCTGCTGCGTCCTCCGAGGGCGTTGAGGTTTGAATCCGTTTACCTTGTTTATGTGCTTTGTTCGAGTTTGCATTTGAGCCATTCGCGCTGGATTCTCTGATATATATAGATTATTGGCGAAGAAACGATCATATGAAATGAATTAGGGAATTTTATGATTTACGTACGAGGAAGTGGACAGTTTTGATTTGATTCAAACTTAGGAGCATAAAAGATGAAATAAACTCACTTAAACGCTGATGGATCGTACATTGAAAATCCATTTAACTTTTCAACCTCGTATTCATTTACTGTAAAACACACGTGAAGCCATCTCTTAAGAAGATTTGGATTTTCTTTCTGGAAGCTCCCTGCTTGGCTTAGAACTGATCAAATTAAACGAATGAGGGATCATATAACGACTAATGCGTGAGGAAAATGGCGATGTGGATTCGAAATTATCTTATAACCATGAAGTTGAAGGAATCTGATCAAACGCAGTTAGATAATTCGATGGAAATCGCATACTCTCTTCAATCTTGTGCATGAATCTATCTCTTAAGCAGATTTTGGTTTACTATTCAGTAATTTCATAATTGAGCAACTGAATCCTACGATTGACGTCGTGATGTTGATTGGTGTTTTTGTTGAGGACAGATTACTTATGGAACAGTTCTAAAGCTAATGCACGAGAAAACTAAATTCCGTTTGCATTCCCATGACGTGCCTTATGGTTCTGGAAGTGGGCAGCAGTCGGTCACCGGGTATCCAAATGTTGATGATGCCAATAGCTACTGGGTAAATCTCTCCCCTTTTGAGTTCTTACTCTTTTCACATTTCCGTGTGGAACAAATGTTGTTATCTGGTTTGCAATGGTAATGAGTCTATCATTGGCAGATAGTAAGACCTGAACTTGGGACATCTGCGAAACAGGGCGACCCCATTAAAAGTGGGACAATTATCAGATTGCAACACATGGGGACAAGGAAATGGCTTCACAGCCACTTGCATGCATCCCCAATATCAGGAAATCTAGAGGTCATTGAATCGCATTCATATTTAACAAATTTTTTTTTATTGGATAATCTCATGATCATATGTCCATTGCATTGCAATACTTTGCGTTGTCTGCTGGCTGCTTTGATGTTCCTCTCGTATTGAATTTTGTTAGTTGCTGGTGTTGACTTCATGATGATTGAAATCATAAAAAAAGTTCAACTCTGCCATTGTTCAAGAGCATTCATCGAGCCAATATTGTTTGCATATAGTGGAACTTGGGATTATATTACTTAGAATTCAGTTATTAGTTACCAAAGGAAGCTATATGGTCCGCATGCTTTATAGCTAATACTAGCTTTCTTATTCATTTTTTCCTTTTCAACTTGCACTAACTTTTGTAGATATGAACTTATTCTCAGAATGTTCAGTTCATTTAGATGAACATGTACCAAAGTTTGTGTTGGTTGAGCGTTTTATTCCGCTATTAGAAATGTTTGCCTGCAATAGATTTCTATTGTTATTGAATATCCCGAATAAACCAAGTTTGGATTGTTAAACATAATATTGTAAAAGACAATTCATTTCCTTTCTTCTTCTTACAAAACGTCAGTTCGTGCAATGAGTATCCACTGACAATTAGAAAATCAACTTTTTCTATTAGTGGACATGAGGATTTTCTTCTGCTATTAGTGGTCAAGGGATATGAGGATTTTGCTTCCAAATTATGGCCATGGTGTCCAACTCTCCATGCTTGCTAATGGATATACTTGCTAATGATTCCAAAATCTAATTATGGTTTCTATGCTTGCTAATGATTCCAGACTCCTTGGTGCAGGTTAGTTGCTTTGGCGATGATTCGAACTCCGACACTGGTGATTACTGGAAGTGAGTAACCATTTACTTTTAAAAAATGTACGATTACACATCTTGATTCATATGTATTAGTGGCTTCTCACCTGCAAAGTTGTACAGGCTTGTGATTGAAGGGAGCGGGAAGACATGGAAGCAAGGACAGAGGATTCGGCTTCAGCACGTCGATACCGGGGGCTACCTACATAGTCATAACAAGAAGTACAGCCGCACAGCCGGAGGGCAGCAGGAGGTGAGAACTGTGAACAACAAATCTCAATAAACCAGAAAATGTAAACATGGTATGCTTAGTTATTTGTAAGTGACAATTCGGAACCATTTTCTTTATACCTCGGCAGGTCTGTGGAGTCCGGGAAAAGCGAGCTGACAATGTCTGGCTGGCCGCGGAAGGTGTTTACCTCCCTGTTACGGAGACAAAGTAGAGGTAACCGTGTATTTAACTTTCAAGATTAGGTTACTAAGTTTTTGAAATATTGAGAAATTTTTTTAATTTTTAACCGTTGAGTTGAGTTGATTATTTAACTCATGAGCGGTCGATGAGGTCACGACCTTACTTCAATAGGATCTATTCTATAGGTTGTATAACGTTGTTCTTAAGTTTTGATAGAACGACCATAGCTTGCTGCTATTCATTGACAATATGTTACGGGTATTCCTTGTACTGCTGGCTTGGTCTTGTGAAAAACATGCTAAATTTTATAAAATTAAAACTAATTGATTTTGATTTTTTTTTTTAAAGCTAAAACGTTTGAATTTTTTTTTGTTGGAAAAATCAGAAGGACTAATAATTAAGTAAAATTTAAAACATAATTGCCTTGAAATTTTTTGTTGGAAAAATCAGAAGGACTAATAATTAAGTAAAATAAAAGCTATTTTTGTTCCCAATTCCGTGAACTTCGAGATGCTTGCCCAACAAGGTTCTAGAATGGAGCTTAACTTGAGTCTTGGTTTGCACGGCAAAAAATTTCATGAATAGTTTTATTCGAGATTGTGATGGGAGACATAGCTTACGATCATCATGTCAATAGGCATCTTATTAGTACACAAAAATGGACAAAATTTTATACTTTTGGATAGATGATGACTTAAGTCTGAAATGAATTCTTTCTCCAGCCATCTACCAATTTCACTATACCGCCTCTTTTAAGATTCGTCAATTCTTTGAGTTTCATTCTTGCAAACATAGCGCGTTAGCTACAACACTGCACGAGCATTTCCAACCGATCTAGACTCTTTTGAGCAGAAAATAGTATCTTAGGTTAAACGTCAACAAAATATATTGTCAAATAAAAAAAATGAAAGACGAAAATCCTAAAGGGAAGCAAAATATGAGCGTGATGGTGTGAGGAAATATGCATGGTCTTACAATGAAGGTATATTCAACCATTATTCATCAATTATACCAAACTTCTCATATTATTGCAAATCCCATCTACTTTTGACTTCAACACCAGGAACTTCCAGTGTGCGAGTAAAATATATACTCAAGCCTTTGGGAAAAGCCCGCACTTCATAATGTGCTGAAGACCTGTAATAGCTAAAGTTATAAGGAAAAGAAAGAATGAAGCTTTTTCGCAGACCAACTTTAAATATGTTGCAGTTGTAGGCTTCAAATTCAATAAAAACAGCCCCTCATTGCATTAAAAGAAGCACTGTTTTAATAATACTACATTTGCAGTATCCATGTTCTCTCCTCAGCCCACCCAATAATTTACAAACAAAACTGCATCTTATTTTATTTCATTTTTGGATTGTAGAGACTGAAAACTGAACTATCATCATGCTTTGAGAGGCTAATAGTGAACGAATTATGATTTTGGGATAATTTCAATCTGTTCCTAATGATTTTGAAGTTTTGATTGATGATACACATGCTTTCTAGAGATGGATATGGGCTCTACTTATAATAGATACTTAATGCCAAGAAAGCACGAAAAGAAAGATCAGTCAACAGAAGCCTTAAAAGCAGTAGTGAGTAAGAAATGGAAGAGCATTGAATTACAAAATACAGGGCAGTCCCGCAGGTGAAGTAAATTTAAAGCCATAAATGCCTTCATCTACCTCGTGGAGTGAGCTCAGTTTTTTTTAAAAAAAAAAAAAAAAAAAGATCTAAACCTTACTAGAAAATTGAGAGCTAGATAGCAAGAGAAGGAAGAACCGAGAGAGAAAAACAGGAAATGAAGCCCCTAAATTTGTATTAGTAGTAGTTTATTTGGATTGGAATCATACTTTTCCAAAATCAAACTAAATATAACACAAAACTACAAGTTTGGTGAAATCTCAAATAGGTGGGGAGAACGGAAATTCTTTATAATGGTGTGGAAACCACTCGAAAGAAAAAATCTAAAGAAGATAATGTAACGGTCGGCTCACGCTTTTAAAATTGGACAAAAAGAATTTGTATTCTAGTGTTGAATAGAACAAATTATTCAATAATATACTATAGATTTCACCTACCATAATCTTTAAAGTCAACATCATGTTCACTCTCTAGTCAATCAGAAATAAAATGGAGAGTTTAGCTCAGATACCTATTCAAACCCTTTAAAATTAGAAGCTAAATCAATACAACCCTAAACTTTACATACTTAAAAGTTATAATTTAACCATATATTCAAATATAAACAGAGCAGAAGTAGACAAACCCACGTTGATGCGGTTAATTGCAAGAAGTAAAGTCTATCCATTGCAGTTTTAGAGATCCAAAGAACTGTGGAGAGTAAAATATTAGAGAGCCACATGTTATGAAATCATAAAAGTAAAAGATTCCGAGACAAGAATCGGCAGTGAGGCAGTCACAGTTTGAACAACGCCTTCCAATTTCAAAGAAGAACACTACAATAGAAAAATATCTTTCTCTGGTTTCCTTCTTTCTAGGAGGAAAAAGGAAAAGAAAAAGATGACCGACAGTGTTTGAGACAGAAATATGTGGCGTGTAAATATTAAATTCTATAGGGGCCTGCATCAGAGACAAAGGGTACCAGTAATTTATTACAATACTTGGATCTCGAAGCCTTCCATTATTTTCTATCACTAACTCATCCACACAGGTTTCCAGATCCTATGGTATGAACTACTGCTGATTCGACTGTGGGATTTCGTGGATCCCATTACTTTTGGTTATCAAATCTTGTTCTTCATTTGGATTTTGGATTTCATAATCTAAAAGATTTTCCTTTTTAACTTAACAATTGTCCCGTACCCGTGGAGAATTGAACATCGACTTTCGGGAGGGTAAATGGTAACTATCAATTGAATTATGCTTGACTTTAGGTGACTTTCAGATTTTTGTTTTTTAGGTGGTTTTATGGGAGATCCGACGTCTATTGGAAAGGGAAACGAACCAATGACGATACGTAACAAGCCAAACCTGACAATAAGGGTTTGGGTTGTTACAAATGGTATAAGAGCCAAACACTAGGCAGTGTGCCAGCTAGTATGCGGCCCCCAATAGGGTGGATTGTGAGGTCTCACATTGGTTGGAGAGGGACGAAACATTTCTCATAAGAGTGTGGAAACCTCTCCCTAATAGACGCGTTTTAAAACTGTGAAACTAATGCAATACATAACAAACCAAAACATATAATATCTGCCAGTGATGACTTAGATTGTTACCCGTTAATTTAATAGATAAGGGTTGAAAGAGACTCAATTCAAATAGAGGGATTAAATTGCAAAAATACAATAGGAACTAACATATATTTCACCCAATCTACCAAACAAATCTTTAATATATTTGTAATATTTTAACTTTATGATAAACAATAAAGGCCAATTGATCAACCCCCAAGGTTAAAGAAAAAAAAATCAAGATACACAATATAGATGGATTTATGAAGGGAGACTAACTTGAGAATCTTCAATAACACCATGACTCCCTGTAGTTGCGCATTCAAAATGGCAAGCTTTTTGAAGTGGAGCTTGACGTGAGCGACTTGAAATGATCAGAAGGCACAAAATCCTGAGGCAAATTGGCTCTCTTCACAATTCTCCTCATGTTGTTTTGCAAACTCTGCCGCACCAATTGCTTCACAGCCTTCTTCTCTTCACTCACCAAATCATCCAATCCTTCCAAACCTTCAGCAGAACCTAGAATTGGATTAGTAAAAGAAGATGAAGAAGAACCACAAATTGGGGCAGAAGAATTTCCCCCGAAATGATCAGGGATTTGTTTTCCTTTATCAACCCTCAAACACTCCAAAATCCTAGAGGCCCTCTTCTGAGCCAATGTACTGCCCAAAAGAGTTAGTTCCAACAAAGCTGATGAAATCCCAGCTTCAATCATTGCCTGTTTATCACGGTAAGATTTGTGCGCCATAACCATCAAAATGTAGGATGCTTTCTCTTGACTGCCAGGAGAATCAGCCCAATTCAAGACATCAATCAGTATTGGAAATGAATTAGGGAAAGTGCTTATGGCCTTTCGACCTTCTGGGGTTGACACCACATTGCTTAGAACTGAGAGGGCTCTTTCACTTACTTCCATGTCTCCCAACGCGTTTAGAAGAAATGGGATCAACTTAGTTTCTAAGATAAATGGAACATTTGAGGGGAAAATAGAGAGGTTATAAAGCGCACGTAGAGCGTCTTGCTTGACTTGCGAACTACTTTTATGATCTGGGTCGTGTAAGTTCTTTACCAAGAATGGAATTGCACCCGATGACCCAATTACCAGTTTGTTGGTATCTAATGCACTCAAGCCGAGGAAATTCGCAACAATGGCTTCTGAAACAGATGGATTTGGGGAATCATCAGATTCGATCAGCTTAAGCATTTTGTGGACAGTTCCCGCTTTAACAATGGCCGCCTTGTTCCTGAAAACAGAGTGAAAAATTAACCAAAATCCTAAGAACTAATAACTCCGGAAATAAATTATCAATAAATGCACGTAAATTGGACAGAAAAAAAGGGATCATCATGTGGCAAGAATAAAAATTTCTAGACGGACCAAAATAGGGATCTCTAAAATGATAGTCACAGGTTGAAATTTTCGTTTTAGTTCAATGCACAAATTTACACATGAAGTTCTGTAGTATTTTTATTCAGAGATAGTTTTGAAAGTTCAAGCTGGGTGAGTAATATTATAATTTTTATTTTTATAATTTAACCCATTTTTAATCGTAGCTGTCTCTTCTCATTATTTCTGGTACCGAAAAAAGAATTAGAATAGTGAGTAAATAAGAGAGGACCCAACTACCCAATGCTTACAGGACATTTCATATAATTTCACCATCCTTCCTTTTCATTTTTTCTGTCTCGTTTTGAGAGGGAGGGAGGGGGTGGAAGTGTGGTGAGGTAGAGACAAAACAAGGACATGGACATATCAATCACTGGAAAAAAGAGCACAATGGAATCAGAAATTAATAGAACTTGGAATTGGAATAGAAAGCAATAAAACAAAAAAAATCGGTGCAACAAATTAGCGGAATGAAAATGACTTGCCAGTACCATTCCCGCACCCAAAAAAAAAAAAAAAAAAAAAAGGAAAACGGGAGGATCACTAACCTAACGCAAAATGAAGAACAAATAGAGATTACGAAAAAAATGACTGATACCAAAAAATGCGAATTAAGTAAACCATGTCAAGAACAAGCAAACAGAGAGAACAGAAAGCAAGAAAAAACGATTCACAGTCGAAGGATTCGAAGGAAAAAACCTACAAGTCGTTTCCAATTCCAAGATTGAGCAATGCATAGAGCGAGGCGATCTTAGATTCATCGTCTTCTAAATCAAGCATTTCAACTAGCGGCGGAATGGCTCCCAGCATTGCAAGCAGTCCTCTCGCTTCTGCATCCTCTTTTGCAAGCAACCTTACTCGACTCGCAGCCGCTCTCCTCTCCGCCAAATTTTCATCCTGCAATATTTTCACTACGCATTTGAACTCTTCCAGCACCTCCTCCTTCTTCTTTGTCTCCGGCTCCGATTCCGGCGACGACTCCAGTCTAAGAAGATCGAATAGCTTCTCCGACTTGGCATTGGACCGTTTCGGTCTCACTTCCTCCTGTTCCTTCACAATCTCGGACATCGACCTAATCGCCGAGGAAACAGTACCATCGCCGTCGTGGTGATAGCGATAGCGTGAACTTCCACCACAACTTACAGCATCAAAAAATTTCCTACGGAATGAAGCAGTGGAGAAGGAAGTACAGAGACGGAAATGGCTGGCGGCGGCAGTGGAAGTGGAGACTCGGTAAAAAACTACAGATCCAACGTCGTTTCTTTGATACTTGGCCATATCGGAAACTGCAAACGGCTTTGGAAACTAAATTGCAGGGAAAAGAACAGCACGAGGAATCTCCGGTGGAAGAGGAAGAAAATGGCGATTCATCATTGATTCGATTTCGCTCTGTTCTTCAATCTCTTGGAAAAAGAAGTTTTCGTTTAGTTTCACAGAGCTTTACACTACAAACTCAAAAGCAGAGCGAGTGTTTAAGTTTAGCGGCAAAAACGATGGCTTACTTTCTACTCTACCCTTCTTTATATTCAATTATTTTTATAATTATTATTCAATTTTTTATATACTTTTATATTTTAAAAGATCAATTTCATTTAAAATTTTAAAATCGGCCAACATTTTCATATTTTTAAACTAATTTAGTTTCTTTTTATTTTGTGACTATTTATTACAAAAATATTTAATAAATATTTAAATTTTCAATTTTGTCAAACTAGTCTTTAAATTTTTAAAAAATCTTTACTAATTTTTTAACTTTTATTTTTATTTTATGTAATAATTCAATTAGTTTTTATAAATTTTTAAAACACAAACTTAATAATATAAATGTTTATTATATACAAAATTTTAATTTTAATTTAGTTAACATATTCAATAAAAATCAATATAATAAAGTTTTAAGACTATGTAATCAGCCTTTAATCTTTAATTTTTTGTGTTTAATTAATTTTTAAGTTTTTTATTTTGTGTATAATAAGCTTTTGAAAAATTAATAATTTAAAATATTGAAAAAAAAACATGATTAAAATTTTCTTTCTATAACCTTAAATAATTATTTTTAGTAATTTTTTTTATTAAAATATTAAATTATTATTATTATTATTATTATTATTATTATTATTTATAAAGATGTTCACATCTGAGTTTTTTTCTAAATACAAAATTGTAATAAATATTAAACACGATAGAAAAATAATTTAAACCCATACTTACAAATTTAGTTAAGTTGAAAAATAATTACTATGGTCTCGTCAATTAGTAAATAAATTATTACTGTGTGTAAAGAAACAAAAGTAAATTTCCTCAAAAAAAAAAAAAAAATAAAATAAAATAAAATCGGAGGACCCCACTTCAATGTGACTCCCATTCCTCAATGGTATTCTGCTTGGCAGTGGGATGTGACAACGCCCATTACTATTCTTCCATTTAGACCAATGCATTTGACTTTGCTTAAATGAATTATTTAATTTACTTTATAAATAGCTTATTAGGTTCGTATTTCATTTAAAAACATTGTAAACAAAAATATTAAATTTGAACAAGCAGTTACAAAATACCTCAATTGTTTATGATGGTTTAAAAATACTTAAAAGAAATTATGAGATTCCGCGTTGTCGATGGTAAAGAGGAACAAAAAATTCCTTATAATGTTGTGAAATCCTCTCCCTAACAAACATGTTATAAATTTGTTATAAATCTGTAAGGTTGACGACGATATATAACAAACCAAAAAAACTTCAAGATTAAACATGTTTGACTCGAGTAATTTTATGTTGAATGACTGCAAACGTGTTTAGCTCGAAGTAAATTTAAGAGATTAACGAACAAAATGTCAGCAAAAAGTATGTAAAGTTGGTCAAATTTTGCGTCGGTGTGTTGCCAGCACCAACCACAATAAGACAGTTTCTCACCAAACTTCATAAAATATCCGAAAGCAAAGGACAATGTGGCCATCCGTCCCTAGAAAAGGACACTCGTATCAACGTCTGGTTGTTGATTGCCTGCATTTTGCTGCTCAAGAATCATACACTAAATCTTATTACAACTAACAACCAATAAAATGATATCCAAGAGGGATTCATTTCATGTACCTTACACAATCTTTGAACATAACAATTCACAGTTGTTTGCCAAAATGGATGGATTTCATGGTTGTTATGTTCTTGAGAAGCAACCATTCATGTTTTGGTGCAGAAATGACGATCATGGACATATTATTCAAGACAATGTGACTCCCTTTTTTGCATGGCTGACTTACTTCACTATCATCTACTAAGATATCGTTAGCTTAATGTCAGTATTAACGTTTTTTCTTTTTCTACGACCCAAAAGTTTCAAAATTCTTGTTCCAAACTTATTATTCTCGTTCACACAAAATCATTATTGCAATTTCTAAACAGTTTCTCATAATATAAAGAAATCAACAAAAACCAAACTATCACCTACAGTCTGTACCTGAAATCAGTCGTGGGCAACCATAGCCTCCGAGTTAGAATCGCTATCTATCTTCTTGATGAACAATCTCTTTTGGGGAGGCAAGTCCTTGGCAAATGACGACCTATCGACGTCGAGAATGATCGAGTCATCTTCTTGAAACTCGCCTCTCAAAACTAGCATTGCAATCTCGTTTTCTACTAGTTGTTGTATTACTCTCTTAACTGGCCTTGCTCCATAATTGGGGTCAAATCCCAACGTCCCCAAAAGCTCAAGAGCTTCTTTGGTGTAATGGAGATTAATGTTCTTATGTTTAAGTCTATCACGTAACCGTTCGATCTGAAACACGAACACAAAAACCATACGCTAAAACTAAATCTAACTCGACATAATAAAATCCAAAGCATAATCTAAACTGAAGTGTATAAACTACCTGTATCTCAACAATCTTGCATATTTGGGTAGCATCCAATGGCTGGAAGACGATATATTCATCGATACGGTTCATAAATTCAGGTCGAAAAGTTTGCCTTGCCAATCCAATAACTTGTTTTTTCATCAAATCATAGACTGCATCTTTACTATCTGTTGTATTACTGAGAGTTTCAAGGATGTAGTGAGAACCAATATTCGACGTCATTATCATGACGCAGTTCGTGAAACTAACAGTTCGGCCCTGAGAATCAGTTATTCTTCCATCATCCAGCAATTGAAGCAAAATGTTGAAGACGTCGTGATGTGCCTTTTCAATCTCATCAAAAAGTACCACAGAGTAGGGTCTTCGGCGAATAACTTCAGTCAGCTGACCGCCTTCTTCGTACCCGACGTAGCCAGGTGGTGCCCCTACCAAACGAGAAACTGCATGTTTCTCCATGTATTCACTCATATCAATCCTAACAAGAGCATTTTCAGTGTTGAAAAGATATCCAGCCAAAGCTTTCGCAAGCTCGGTTTTTCCAACACCAGTCGGACCCATAAACATGAAGCTGGCTATGGGTCGGTTGGGATCGGAGAGTCCTGCTCTTGAACGTCGAATGGCATCTGCAACTGATTTTACTGCGATATCTTGACCAACTATCCTTTGATGGAGGACTTGTTCAAGTGAAACCAGTTTATCTCTTTCGGATTGTTGGAGGTTGGCCAATGGTATGCCAGTCCATTTGCTTACAATCTCTGCAATATCAAGATCTGTGACCTCCTCACGAAGCAAAGAAATTCCGGACTTTCGAAAGTCTTGAAGATTGTTTTCAGCCTCTTCTAATTGGCGGTTAAGCGATATTAGAGTTCCATACTTGAGCTCAGCAGCACGATTCAAATCAAATTCTCTTTCAGCTGCTTCCATCTCAAGGTTAACTCTATCAATCTACCAATGAAAAAAGACACAGTTGGAACCGACCATAATTTTCTAAATTAAAAACAATAGGCTAGGAGTACTTTGAGCATAAGCTCTCATGGCTTTGCTTTAGACTTCCCTAAGAAGAAGGTACCAATGAGATGTATTTCTTACTTATAAACTCATGATCATTCCCTAAATTAGGGAATGTAGGACTCATGTGGTACTCCCTCCCAACAAACTTCTTTGTTCGATATTTGAGGATTCTGTAGACATAACTAAATTAAGGGCATGACTCTAATAAATTAGCCAATGTAGGACTTCCTCCCCACACAATACAGCCATTGAAACTCAGGAAGGATTAGAAAAGAACTTGGTATGAAAAAACACATCAAATTTAAGTAATTTAAAACTACCTCTTCCTTGATAGATCGTATACGAGTCATGAAAGACTTCTCACGATCCCATTGTTCAGTCAATTCTTTCTGCTTTTGTTTAAGTGAGCTCAGATCTTGCTCTAATTTGCTTAACCTTTCTTTGCTGGCTTTATCTGTGTCGTTTTTTAAGGAGAGCTTCTCCATCTCCAACTTCAAGACCGCTCTATCAATCTCGTCCAACTCGGTAGGCTTAGAAGTAATCTCCATCTTCAACTTTGCAGCAGCTTCATCAACAAGATCAATGGCTGCAAAGAAAAGTGACCTTCATGAACTCAAGGGAACAGCGCAAGTAATTTAACTATTTTTATAGTAAATTGTGCATCCTACTTTAAAAAGCAATCAAACCATCCATAAAAAAAATATGAAGGCTTTGGTTGGTTTTTCGTTCATAAACCAAACTTAGTGTTAAAATTTTAGTAACCTTTGTCAGGCAAAAACCGTTCAGTGATGTATCTGTCTGCAAGAACCGCTGCTGAAACAAGTGCACTATCAGATATCTTTACACCATGATGTAGCTCATATCGCTCACGTAACCCTCGAAGAATAGAGATCGTATCTTCAACGGATGGTTGGCCACAAAACACTTGTTGAAATCTACGTTCAAGCGCAGCATCTTTCTCAATGTATTTTCTATACTCCTTCAATGTAGTTGCACCGATGCATCGTAGTTCGCCGCGACCAAGCATCGGTTTCAAGAGGTTGCCAGCATCCATTGCACCACCAGTAGCTCCTGCATGAAAATCATTAGCCAACTATGAGAATTTAAGATCTGACCATCGACATCACAACGACAGCTTCATAAACACAATAATGAGATGAATACAGGACAATCATATATAGATTGGTCAAATGCATCAGAAAAAAAATGCTTGAAGTTCAATAGAAACAAGAAAAAACCTGCACCAACAACTGTATGAATCTCATCTATGAACAAGATAATTTGCCCATTTGAAGCTGTGACTTCCTTTAGCACAGCCTTCAATCTTTCCTCGAAATCCCCACGGTATTTCGCACCAGCAACCAGTGAACCCATGTCCAGAGATATCAACTACAAATGCAATCAAAAGACAAATAAATAGTGAAGCGACATCTAAAGTACATCAGTTGTTCTAATACTCGAGCACAATTGGCCCCCGAGAGAACTTCGAGCAGCCATAGTGAGACATGGAGCACAAACTTTATAGAAAATTTATATGAATATAATTAAACATGAGTTCTAATATTGGTTAAATAAGTAACCTTTCTATTCAACAATGGTTCTGGAACATCGCCACGAACAATTCGTTGAGCTAATCTGCAAGAAGAAGAGTTCAATTACCATATCAATAAACCAACTCAAAGCTCAGATTTCTTAATATGGGCAGTAACATACCCTTCAGCGATTGCAGTTTTTCCAACACCGGGCTCACCAATGATCACGGGATTGTTTTTTGTTCTCCTTGATAGAATTTGAATGCATCGTCGTATCTCATCATCTCTACCTATAACGGGATCGAGCTTACCACGTCTAGCAAATTCAGTTAAGTCAGTCCCGTACTTGTCAAGAGCCTCAAATTTTCCTTCAGGATCTTTGTTCAAAAGAAAAGACAAAGATACAATCAAATGAAAAGAATGAACAAACAAATAGAACACGAAATATGTGACAAACGACGTTCAACTTGAATTTTTACTTTGATCAGTCACCCTCTGATTTCCACGAACAGCCTGAACAGCATCCTTCAAATCTTTTTCACTTAGTTGCAAATTCTTAAACAGTTGCTGCCCAAATCTCTTATCCGAATGGAAGGCTAACACAAAATGTTCCACAGATAGAAAATCGTCTCCCATTTCTTTTTTATATTTTTGAGCATTGTCGAGAATCAAACCTAGATGTGTGCCTATTATTGGACCACTAGTCTCGCCCGTTACCTGTTATAAGATACATGATTATGCATTGTTTTTTAACTTAAGAAAATAGGTATATCTGTATAATCTAGATGTACCTTTGGTTGTTGAGATATAAAATCAACTGTAGCCTGCAAAACCGACGAATTGTCGAGTCCGGCCTTTGAAAATATTCTTCTTGCTAAACCATCCTTCTGTTCAAGAAGAGCTTTCATTAAATGCTCACTCTCCACAACTTGTTGCTTATTCATCCGTGCAGTATCAACTGCACCGACTATGCCTTCCCATGCCATCTCAGTGAAATCTGTCTGATTTATCTGCTTCAAAAGAACATTAATCAACTTAACATACATTGACATTTTCTAATTGATCATGAAAATGGATGAAAAAAAGAGTTCCCTATTAGATTTCAAGTATCTCTCATGAATGATTTCCTCGTCAAAACGGAAACATTTTGAATTGACAGTGATTTCCTTTTTTCAATTTTCAAAACTTCGATTAAGTTTAAAAACACTCCTAACATAGATAACCAAACAAAGAAATCAATGAGTGAAGTTGAAGGTGTGTTGATTTGTTCTCTTTGTGTATAAAATTTTGCGATACTTACTGCAACAGAAAAGCTAAAACAAACTAGAAAGAGATTGATTTACAAATAAACAAGCAGATAATAGATGGATGATAAACAATTAATGAGGTGTCTTATTTTTTTCACTTTCAATCAATGCCGAAATTCAAAAATCGCAAAATCAAACCTGAGAGGAAGCTGTAGCAGAGTAATTAGAAGGAGGCGTAGAGTGGAAATTTCGAGTGAAAATCGTAGCCAAATACTTGGCCGACGCCATGGCACCACCATTAACTTGTCTGGAGCAGAAAAAGTTGTGCACAGAAAAGGGAGCAAAGGAGTTACCAACGAGAGAAGATGAACAACGCCAAGACGCAGGCCAACGAGAGGAAACCGAGGGAGAATAAGAAATCTTGTACGCTTTAGCCGTTGCTAAAGCCGATGAGGTGAGCTTGGAAACTCTTCTAGCAGCCATTGTTACGATCAAAGCGAAGTAATTGTTCCGATTAAAGAGGAGCAGGAGGGAAAGAGGGCGGGACAAGATGATATACGGCTATGAACCAATCAATGAAATTTTTAGAAGCTTCCCGTGCTTCTTGAAACTTCTAGCTCACGGAATTAAAATTCGGAAATATTTTATAATATTTATAAAATATTTTTTAATAGTTAATCTAAAAAAATATGATAGGTGATTGAACAAAGTAAATGGGCTATTGGGCGGGTAAGGTACATTATTTGGGCTTAGCCCACCAAAAAAATTGCCCAAAAGGTCAACTTTAAATAAATTATTGATTATTTATTAGTGTTTTTTTTAATGGATATTTTGGTCGGGATTCGTTGACTTTGAATGTTTGTACTAAATTGACCTTTGGATTGTTCCCACAAATATTGCTTCTTTACAATTTGCTGTCCTTCATGCTCCACTAAACAATGTCACCACTTACTTCTTTGACAATAAAGAGGTTTTAGTTGGAGGGTTTGTGGCCAAATCCGAACCCGAATAAGTAGTAAAAGTAATACCTCGAAACTAAATAAAAATAAACGTGTCTAAGAACAGCTAATTTCGTCCCTATGGAACTACATTTAAATCCAGCAATAAAATATCTAGACGACCTATCAACAACATGTCAAGAAAACAAATTCCGTAAAAGTTACCAAAACGTTTGTGAACCTAACCTCTTGACAAAAACAAGCATGTCTAAGAACAGGTAATCTCGTCTCTATGGAAATGCATTTAAATCCAGTAATAAAATGTGTAGACGACCTAGCTGAAAAACATCCAGCATGTCAAGAAAAGACAAATCCCGTCAAAGTTACAAGAACGTCTATAAACTCAACCTCTTGATCAGAGTCCCGAGAATAATATCTAAAACTAACCCTAAATGTGTATTTTTTAATAATGAAAGGTAAGCATGAAGATGATTTTGTCTGTACCAAAAGGGTAATATAAGAGAGAGATGAATAGGACACCCCATAATTGTTAGTGCTACAAATACTATACTCTCCACTTCAATTCAAAGTACTTGTTTGGAGACCATGTGGTTCTCTTTCTGCCTTACAATTTAAGATTCCCATATCACTCAAAAAAAAAAAAACAAAAAAAAAAAAAAACAAGACCCAATTTTTTATTAATATTTTGTTTTTGTTTAATTAATTAAATATTAATTATAGTTGACTTGAAATACTCAAAAATTAATTTAAAAAATGTAAATTTAAATAGAAAACTAGATACAGATATGAAATGACAGGGCGACACTTACCTAGACTAAGTTTGAAAGATGTAATTAGATATTTTTTTATAATTTAAATTATTTATTTTGTAGGGTCAACTTTTGGTCAAAGGTTGGTGGTAGGTGGAAGCTGATGTCACAAAGCATTAAGGAGAGAGAAGGATTACACTGATTAAACCCTTTTATGGAATTTGGCTCTAAATGACATATATATATATATATATATATAGATAGATAGATAGATAGCGTGTGTATGTATATTGAAATCGAGTTTTGTTTATACTTGTATCGTTAAAATAATCTACTCGTGAATTCTAACGGGCACTTTTATTTTAAGTGCTTTTGACTTCTAAGAACATTCAGTGTATGGGTTGAGATTAAATTATCGACATTTGAAATGATATAATAAATAATTTTAATTCATTATGGTCGATAGATATAAACGATATATATAATGTTAAGGTTTATGATTTTTGGAGGCATCATCCGACACATTCTCACATGGGGTTTGCCGATCCAATTCATTTCTCTTCCCACTTGTGAAGATTCCTAGACAAAGGATCCCATGGCCATGGACACCTCAACATATTTTTTTTGACATAGGAGAAAAGTATTCTCGAGATAAATATTCTGATATAGAAGGCGTTTTTTTGGGCTTTCCCTTTTGGGTTTCCCTTCAAGGCTTTAAAATGCTTATGCTAAGAGAAGGTTTCCACACTCTTATAAATGGTGGTTTGTTTTCCTCCCCAATCAATGTGGGACATCACAATCCACCTCCTTTTGGGGCCAGCGTTCTCGCATGCAGTCTTTCCTTCTTCTAATCGATGTGGGACCGCCTTCAAATTCACCCCCTTTGGGGTCTAGCGTCCTTACTGGCACACCGTTCAATGTCTGGCTCTGATACCATTTGTAACCGCCCAGATCCACTACTATAAATGGTGGTTTGTTCTCCTCCACAACCAATGTCAGACATCACAAAAACCCGAAAGGGAAAGCACAAAAAAGACAATATCGACTAGCAGTGGATTTGGATTCGGGCAGTAACATGTATATGTATTAAACATGTGTGAGAGAGAGAGAGGGAGAGAGAGAAATTTAGTTTGGTGACATAAAATGAATTGAGTAATAAAGGAGTGGTCCATGCATGGCAACCAACACTTTGTCCCTTAAGAGAAAAGTGGGACTCAATGGGAATTAATAAAGGCTTTTATTTTATTTTTTTAATTCAACATAATATAATGTTTTAATTTGTCCCTAGGAATAACCCTAAACCCAAAGGACTAACCTTTAAAGGTTGGAAAGGGTAAGAGAAGATGGGAGGGAGGTTCCCTTAGCCATACATAGCCATTACCAAACACTTTCCTTGCTTTTAACCTTACCAAATTAAACATTGGTCCCCAACCCTAATCTTTTTTTTCTTTTCTCGAGAATAGTTCTATTCCGGGGTTTGAAAAGATTCGGTGACCTAAAGAATTCGATCAACGTAATCTTACTCGTACAATTTAGAGGTTTGTAACAGTCTAAGCCCACCACTAACGCGTTTGCTTGTTACGTATCATCATTGCCTCACCGACGTAGATATTTTTCACACCCTTATAAAAAATGTTTCGTTCTCATCTCCAACTGACGTAGGGTCTCTCAAGGTTATCAATTTATTCGAATTGGGTTTGTTCAAACAAATGAAAACTTTATGAATTAGGTTGATTAGTTTGACCGCTTTGGCTCATTAGTATCGTCGTCAGTCTCACGATTTTAAAACGCATCGAGTAGAGAATTGGGTTTCTTTCCTCTCTCTGACCGATGTGGGATCTCACAAGGTTATCAATTAATTTGAATTGGGTTTTCTTCAAATAAATGAAAACTTTATGAATTAGGTCGGTTCATAAATTTCTCGAAAAATAGTTGACCGTTTTGGCCCGTTAGATATCGTCGTCAGTCTCACGAGGAGAGGTTTCCACATACTTATAAGGAATGTTTCGTTCTCCTCTCCAACCGACGTGGGATCTCACAAGATTATCAACTTATTTGAATTGGGTTTTGTTCAAATAAATGAAAACTTTATGAATTCGGTCGGTTCATAGATTTCTCAGAAGATAGTTCGGGTCAAACCGAATCAACTCAAATTCATCTTATCCCGCGCTTTTTCTTCTCTCTCTATCACTCTCCCAATGGAGGGAGGCAATGAGCATCACAATTTGTTGTCAGGGAAATGAAGGTTGAGGAACCCATTTCATCCACACACACACACACACAAAGCACCAACAAAATAGAAACACAACAAAAGAATACCCTAAAACAAAGAAAGAAGGAAACTGACTTCTCTCTTGACGCAGTCCCATCGAGCCCAATTCCCAACAAGACATAAAAACTCTCTATGGTACAACCAAAATCCAACGGCAGGGATTCATTATCCTATCTCGTACCTTTCAAAGGACAACGCTGGCACGAATATGAAAATTTGAACTTCTAACGTTATTTGAAACATAAATAACAACCAAATTTTTAATAATGGTGAGTCGAGATTCGTGACAAATGTGTATAGGTAAGGCTTTTTTTTACCTATAAATATATGATATGAAAATTTGAACTTCTGACCTTAAATTAGTGGCCGGCTCCTTTAGGCCCTTAAATGCATGATATGAAAATTTGAACTTTTGACCGAACGAAAAAACTTTTTAAAAAGATAAATAGTTATCAAATTGTTAATGATGATGAGTCGAGATTGGTGACAGACCCTTAAATGCATGATCCAACCACAACTTTTAGAAAGCTTTCAAATTTCTCTCTCCCCTCTCTTTGTATGAACTGATTGAATGCTTTGAAGAACATCAAGAACACAGTGTGATTGATAAGATGGCCAAAGCCCAAAGCTTTGTGTACTTTCTCTCATCTCAAAAGCTTTCCTTTTTTTTTTTTTTTTTTGTTTCTGTTTCTGTTTATGTTCTTCCAATGACCATTTTATGGCGAAATGTTGTATCTGCTTCATGTTTGTGACCATAATTATGCAAAAAAGAAGAAGAAAAGTTTGCTTTTTTGGTCATCTTTTACCCAAAACCCTAATTTATTAAGAACATCCATATGGGTGTGTGAGAATTTTGATACTTTTTGGCATGTTTTGGGAAATTTCCTTATCTGGGTTTCTAGATTTTAGTGATTTGATTCGACCCATTTGGCCAAAATTTGATCTTTGATGTTGTTGTTGTTCTTGAGGAATGGTGTTTGTAGAATCGAAGTTGACAGAAGAGAGTGAGCACACAGAGGCTTTTGGTATAATGATATGCCATTGCTCTTGCGTGCTCACTTCTCTGTCTGTCAGCTTCCATCGCCAATTCCTTCTTTTTTCCTCCCCAAATACTCAATTTTCTTCCTTTTTTCTTGTCTAATTTTTGTTTCATTGTTCATATGTACTTCAATTATGATGGTTCATGTGAGAATTGAGATGGGTTTTGTGATCTTGAGAAGTAAATCAAATTTTTGGGCTCAATAATTCTCATTCAATTGGTTTTGATCTGAAAATGGAAACCTAAGTCCAGGTCTTGTTGTTCTTGTTCTTGTTCTTCTTTGGTTCTTTTGCTAGAGGTTTAGAACAGAAGCTAATGGGGGAGGATCTACAAAAGAAAAGCACAAGATGATTCATTTATGCAGGTTTTGTCAACAATGAAACTGGTAATTTTAAATGTTATATTTTTAAGACAGCCGTACGTCAATTGCAGTGACAAAAAAATATTATTAGTGGGATCTTTTTTTTTTTCTTTCTTAATTTTGGAAATTAATTATGACTTCATTGACTGCTTATATGCATCTCTTTTTGTTTTGGTCTTGTTCATTATTTTCATTTTGAGGTCGAATTTCAGACACATCGAGCTCGAATATCGAGCTCAAATAACTACATATTATATAAGTCATGTGGTTTGAGAGATTGACGTTTAGGGTCTATATTACTAGTTATAGTCTACAAGCTTGTGCAAGCTCGAGGTATGTGATAAGCCTTTTCTATCAATGAAATAATGAGCGATGATTCTTTTTTTTTAGTTCAATAAGTATGAAGCAAGGGATCGAACATTCAACCATATGGAATGCTTACTATGCATCTTATTCATGTTGAAGAATGTTTTTTTAAGTCGGAGTGATTTTTCATTTGAGCATCTATTATTTTAAATATATGAATGATAAATTAAGTATTAAACATTTCTTAGAGCTATTAAGTAGTTGAAAGATCTTGTGTGAAAGTTTGTTCTCCAGTGGTCAATGCGTATGTCTTGTTAAAATATTTTGTTATTAAGAAAGTTCTAATAATTTATTTGGATATAACTCGAATAGATCAATTGGTTGAATACTTATTTTCAGTCTTGAATACTTATTTCTAGTCTCATCTCGAAGACAAACATACTACCATTGCATCACAGATCCCATTATAACTGCATTTTCTTGATTCAGACTTATATGGTAGATAAGCAAGGACAATGAAATATCGATCCCTGAATAACGGATGGAGGTTGTCTCAAAGCCCCTCGCCCCATCTCAATGAGGATAAAACGGAAGGAGACGGGAATTAGTACATCAAATGGTAGAATCATATGACAAACACATTCAACGGATAAACCTTCAGAAAGGGTTTCAATAAACTGATGTCTACTCTTCTAATGCAGGGCATTGAGTTGAGCATTCATCTAAAAAGGATTATTGGTTTTTGAACTTCCACACTCAGATAAATAGCATTTGATCATAAAATGTAAGCCTACTACTTCCTTTGCCAGTTGCCTGTTGTGGATTCTGTGATGATCATAAAATGATATATATTAGCATCGGACTTGGATAATGTCAAGGTAATTGTAACAGCCTAAGTAGATCAATTCTCATCTAAAAACAACAATTCCAGTCAACAGTTCTTCATTATAAGAATTCAAGAAAACAACAATTCCAGTCAACAGTTCTTCATTATAAGAATTCATGTTAGACATACGTATATCTTTTGGTTGAATAATGGTGTGCTGCAGCCTGCCAAGGAGGAGCTCAAGAACCGAGAAGATGATGGAAGAACACATAATCTCATCGGTTCGTGCTAACATAATCACAGACATTAGAAGTATGGATGAAATTGCAGTATAAACAACCAATGAGAGTGAAGTTTGAAGCTCCAAACAAGAGAATAAGATGTGTAAACATATGATGTAATGTATGAAAATGGCCTATAAGTAGTAGGGCATCCAAAAGTGCACTGCTTTATACTTTATACTTACTGAGCTTTAGCAGTAAATGTGCACTGCCATCTCCAACCCTGATAAACAGTTAACATGAGAATCATTTCTTAGCTTGCCTCTACCAAGTCAGAATCTACTGTTCTTGATGGGCTTCCATGAACAGTTTTCTTTTTCATGAATGCAAAATGAAGAACAAGACTAAAAGATACAGTACAATTTGAAACTGAAATGGCAGAAGTAGTAAATCAGATGCCATCAATTCAGGTATAACACTGTACTCTACCTTTATCAGCCTGTTCACTACCCTGAGTAACAGTGAAAGCTAGGCACTTTCTTATCTTACACTTTCTCCTCGTCTTTTTCTATGCACTTGTTTTTCCCCCTTTTCAAAGACCCTATTGAACAAACAGTTCATATCCTTTTACACTTTTCTTATCTCAAAATTCTTTTTAGCTGCAAATTTTCTCGTCTTTATTCCCATTAACAGTACAATCATTTGAGATGAGGTAAGCCCTGCAGGTACGAGTCATTTCACTTCAAAATTTGGAATGAACAGAATAATTCTTACATGGATAAGATAATGTCAAGACTTTTGCACAAAAAGTTTGGCTGGAAATGATACACTATTAAATTTCCAATAAATGGAACGTTAGAAAAGAGATCTTATCAGGAAAAGGTTATTAAAAATGAACTACAAAGGAAGAGTGTCAGGCCGTTGATGCACTTTTGGAGAGAGCCCCAGCTGCAAATAAGAGATTCCTCCGAGAGAACTGAATCAGAAAGAAAATACAATTATTTAGAGATATGTTATGGGAAGAAATAAATTTTAAAAAATGCTAGTTTAGTCTGTCGATCGATACCCGCAAACTGTAAACTGGAGTTGATTTGGTTGGTAGAGTCTTCAAGGATCTAAGTCTATTGGCAGTTCCACTTTTGCTGTTAACGAGAACAGAGACGTTTAATATGCAAATGTTAAATAATTATAACTGAAACATCTTTAACTATTTTAGGAAGAACTCACTTTTCATCTGTTCTAGGTGGCTTTGTGCTTGAAGTTACGTCCCATAATTTCACTGTGCAATCGGCAGAGCCAGAGGCAAGGAGAGAACCCTCACAACTGAAATGGAATATACATCAAATATTGGATAATTACTTGCGTGGATATTGGGTGAGGTGGGAAGGGGGTGGAATTTTTCTTTTATATACCTGAAAGCAAGGCTCCAAACGCATGATGTGTGTCCAATCAAAGGTGTAACACAGCGACCAGTTGATAGGTCCCACATCATAATCGTACCATCTTCATCACCGGATGCCATGAACCGACCATCGGGTGACATAGCCAAAGACAGGATCATGCTCCTGTGACCGATGAAGATTCGAACGCATTCCCCACTCTGGACATCCCACAATCTAACCGTTTTGTCACTTGACCCAGTTGCAATGTAGTTGCAGTTGGCATGCCATTGAACACACTGAAGATGTCGAAAGATTTGTCATGGATCATATTATACCAGAAACACTAGGATCAGACAACAAAAAAGAGTTGATCTGGAAAAGCTTAAATATTTAATTCTTGAAGATGAGGTTTTAAACTACGGAAATCAGTGTAAAGACTTCCATCATTCAAGGGAGAGGGATCGATACAGCAGAAAACTAGTTACAAATAAGAAAACAACTGTACGCAGGGAGAGAATAATGCTTAAATTTGAGGGGGAAAAGACAACACAGGTAAGGAGGAAAAATGGTACTACTATCTGCTTGAATATTCTATCGACCGCTCCCAACTTATATATAAGTAATTAAAGATCAGAGAAGGAATAAGGAATGAACTGCTCACATCCACATCGGATAGATGTCCTGCCATGATCCTCAGAGGTTGAATTCTGTCCATAGACCAGATCCTTGCAGTTCGATCATGTGAACAACTAGCAAAATAATGTCCAACCGGACTAAACTGCACCAGGAAATTAAATATAACGATGAAATCTTTCACATTGCACAATATATCTAAAAGTAGAAAAGTCCCAGTACCACATGCAAATTAAAATGACGTATAGACAGAAAAGTCTACTGAAGCTTGAGAAAAAGAAAGAGTGAGAATCTCTCTACTCATAAGAAATTAAGAAACTAGAATTTGAAAACAAACAACAAAAGCGCTAAGTAATGACATTAGAAATACAGGCACGACACCTTGAACAGACAGGACCAGCGATTGAAGGAATAAGTAACAAGACAAAACTCTTTTAGATACGGTGGTTCATCCCAGTAATAAACCATACTGACCCAAGCATAGCAAATGCCATTCACTTCAACTCATATATCTTAGAAATATATATATATATATATATATATATATATATATATATATATATATATATATATATATATATATATATATATATTT